AAAAAAAAAAAAAAAAAGAAAACACCTTGTCATTTCTCTGGGCTGATCATCACCATCTTCATCATTGTTACCGTCACACCAAGTCGCCCCCCCACTGTATCCGCCCAGTGGGTTCACCTTGCCCGCTGCCTAGACAAAGCCAATTTATCAAGAACTGCAGTGGAGAAAGAGTAATTCCCGCAGAACCGGCTGGGCGGGAGACCGGAGTTTTATTTTCACTCAGGTCAGTCTCCCTGAGCATTTGGGGAGCAGAGGTTTTAAAGAAAATTTGGCAGGTAGGGGCTTGGGAAGTGGGGAGTGCCGATTGGTCAGGTTGAAGATGGACTCACGGGGGGTCAACGTGAGTTTTTCTTGCTGTCTTCCGTTCCTGGATGAGATGGCAAACTCGCTGAGCCAGATGACCAGTCTGGGGGGTGTCAGGCTGAGTGCAGGGTCTGCAAACTCTCTCAAGACCTGATCTTAGGTTTTACAATAGTGATGTTATCCCCAGGAGAAGGCTGAGGAGCCAGAGGCTGCGTGACCCCTAAACCTAAATTTCTGATCTTGTAGCTAATTTGTGAGTCTTGCAGAGGCAGGTCCCTAGGCAAAAAGGGGTCTTTTCCGGAAAGGACTATTACCAATTTCGTTTCAGAGTCAAACCATGAACCGAATTCCTTCCCACAGTTAGTTTTTCCTATACTCAGGACTGAACAAGGACAGCTTAAAGGTTGGAAGCAAGGTGGAATTGGTTAGGTGTGATTGCTTTCCACTGTCATCATTTCCTCAGTTAGGGTTTTGCAAAGGCGGTCTCACCACTTAGCAATCTGTGATTTTCCTCATGGCTTCAGGCCCCAGAGCCTGGGACTGTTCCCGAGCCCTTTCCTCTTCTCCTTTCTCCATTTCTTTCTAGTGTCCACCCCCTTAAACCCACCCCACCCTTACAGCACACTTTGGCCTTGAAGAACCAGGTGGTGACACCCCCGTCCCCTCCTCCAGGCTCCGGATGGTGGAGACACTGAGCAACTTGCTGCGCTCCGTGGTGGCCCTGTCACCTCCAGACCTCCTCCCGGTCCTCTACCTCAGTCTCAACCACCTTGGGCCACCGCAGCAGGGCCTGGAGCTTGGCGTGGGTGATGGCGTCCTTCTCAAGGCAGTGGCCCAGGCCACAGGTAAGAGGGACTGTGGTTGGAGGGACCGGAAGGACGGGAGCTCAGCCAGAGAAAATGCAGAGGTCAGGCAAATCGGAGAGAGACTCTGCAACTGGGGTGGGGCAAAGGCTGAGAGGGAGGAGAGCCTGATGGGGACAGATTTGCAGGGGTGTGGGAGAGAACATAGGGGCAGCGGTTCAGGTGAGGGAGGACCAGGCCTGTGTTGGGACAGGGGCCGTGGGGCGCACTAAAGGGGAGGGCTGGGGAAAGATGCTGGAGGCAGCGACAGCAGGATTCGGGGGCTGAGATTGAAGGTTGGGGCGTAGAGAGGTCTGAAAGGACTTCGACTGGAGGGACTGGAAGGAGTGGGAGGGAGGAAGTCCGTGTGTGAGGGTCCAATGGCCTGCAGGGGCCCAGCCGCCAGCGCTGGGTGGAAAGGCTGGTGATGTGGATGACCCGCCTGCCAAAGGCTTGGAGTGCTCGATGCTTATCATGAGGACACTGGGGAGCCATGGAAGGATTGTGAGCAGGCAAGGGGCAGTGTCCAGGGAGAAGAGGAGCTGCATCCCAGCTGTAGAGAAGAGAGGAGAGGGCAGGAGTTGGGAGAGAGGGAGCACGGGAGAGATCTGGTAAACAGTGGGTGTCAGGGTGAGAAGGCAGGAGGAATGCCTCCAGGATCTCCCTGGGCGAGGGGATGGATGAGGAAGCCATCAGCAGCCTGGGACCCTGGTGAGCGGCAGGCACCTGCAGGGGGCATTAATCACCCCAGCGTGGGGCAGGCGTGGGCAGCCTCTATCTGTGGGCCCCCAGGGCCATCCAGGACGTTTGGAAATGGGTCTGAGGCTCACTAGGTCTGGCTCAGAGCCCAGGGTTCGGGAGTGGTCAGCGTAGGAGGGATGACCACCCACTGGCGAGTTCTCATCCACTTGGGGAGAGGATGTGCTGGGAGCACTGGAGCTGGCTTAGGGCCATGGAGAGCAACGTGTAGGGAAGGCGGGGGTTTCAGGCTTTCGCGAGAGGACACAGGGACTGAGAAAAGTTGACTTGGATCAGGAAAGAGTTACAGGCTTATGGGAGCCAGAGGAGATGAGACTCAAGATTCTCTCACTCATTCACTCACGATGTGTTTCTCGAGCACTGACGTCATACCAGACCCAGCACACACGGGGTCTGTTAAGAATACTCTGAGCTGCAGGTAATGAAAACCCAACTACATTGGCTTGGACAAAGAAGGATCTGTTTTTCTCACAAAAGAAGTTGCAGATGCTGGCTTTCCTGCCCAGCGATCCATGGCGGCCGGGGCCTCTTCCGCTCTCTCACGCTTCCACCCTTGGCATGTTTGTGTTCACACTCACACTCCTCTCCCTGCCGCCTCGTGGGCCCCGTGGCTGCCCAAGTCCTGGGTTTGTTGTGAGTTGTTGACCACTTTGGAGAATCCCATCCCCTTTGACGTGTGAGTCGATACGTCACATACCGATGAACACTCACTGCTGACGTTCCCATTTATGGGAGTTGCACTTCACGTGCGAGACCCGGCCGTTTGGTGTGTCCCCTCATGTGCGGCGGCCAAGCGTCCGTGGACTGAAACGCGCGCTTGTTCATCACAGACTGCTTTCCCTTTCGTTCTTTTCTGTGTTAGGGCATTATTTCGACATGTGTAGGCAGGTTATGTTATCTCCACATTTCATTTCAGAACAGAAAAGGGGTGACACACAGTATCTGGTGACAAGGGTGTGTTGGTTCTGATACGTTGAGAGCTGCTTGTCACACTTGTCACGGTGACTTGAGGCTCCACCTCCCCAGCTCTTACACCCAGGCGCCCATGGGACCCAGCTCTGGACAGTAAGTGGGGCCAGAGCACATCCCACGTGTGTAAGCTGGTGGCTCCAAAACAAGCCAAAGGGTCACTGGTCACTGCCAGAGATGTTCCTGACCTGCCAGAGGAAAGGGTCCCTTGGCCTTCTTTGCTCTGTCCACACTCACGTCCCTAGTGATCTTGTCCCACCTATGACTTTAAATCCCATCTGCTCCCTGATGACACCGGCCCAGATATCTCCCCTGAGTGTGGTCATGTTCGTTCATCCACCGCTTTCCTGGCTCCACGTGCATGTCTGCTGGCTTCCTACAGCCAGCGTAGCTGGGGGCACCATCCCCAAGCCGCTTCTACCAAGTGGGTGAGCCTTAGACACAGGGAGGTGCAGGGACTCGCCACAAGCACACACAGCTGGAGAAAATTTATCCAGGCCGCTAGAGAAGGGAGACACGCAGTCACAGCTGTCACCCTCGACACCCCCACCCACACTCTCCCCTGAAGGTCGGCAGCTGGAGTCCGTCCGGGCTGAGGCAGCCGAGAAGGGCGACGTGGGGCTGGTGGCCGAGAACAGCCGCAGCACCCAGAGGCTTATGCTGCCACCACCTCCGCTCACTGCTTCCGGGGTCTTCAGCAAGTTCCGTGACATCGCCAGGCTCACTGGCAGTGCTGTGAGTGGCGGGCTGCTCACCCCGGACCCCAGACATTTTGGGGACCTGAGGCCATGTGTGCATCAGGAAGGCTTCTGGGTAGACCATCGGCTGGGTCACTTCAGTTCTGCTTGTGGGGGGCATGGCTTCCTCTCCTTTCTGCACCCAAGGCTAGGAGGTTCTCTCCAGAGTCTAGCAGACCCAATACCATGGCTGCCACATGACAGGACTCTAAATACTTCCTGGATAAAGGGAGAGGGAGGCAAGGAGAGCTAACTCGTTCTTACTGCCCTAAGAGTGGGCGACCATGGGAGCTGGGACATGGGGATGGGGTGAGGGAAGGAGGGCAGGTGTTCCAAAATGTGGGGCAGCAGCGTGGCTGGTGGGGTGGAGGTGTGGTCCCTGCCTTCACCAGGCACTGACGGCTCTTCCCCTGACTCTCCAGTCCACAGCCAAGAAGATAGACATCATCAAAGGCCTCTTTGTGGCCTGCCGCCACTCAGAAGCCCGGTTCATCGCCAGGTGAGTGTGTGGGCCTGTGAGGCTGCAGAGGGGGCCTGCAGACGCGGAGGTGAAAGGAGGGAGGGACTGGCAGCCGGAATCATCACGAATGCCCTGACCATCCTTGGACGAGAAAAGCATGAGCAGGAGACCTGGCCCCTGAAGAGTGGGAAGGGACACTGTTTCCTTTCTCAGGCCAGCTTCTGTCCCTTGGTAGTGCTGTCTAGAGAAGGCCCCTGGGCCCCTGTGGATGAGGTGTGCAGTGATTGATTAGTGAGGTCTGCCTCGGCCTGGGCACAGGCCCTGCAGCAGGAAGCCAGGATTTGTTTGCCATGACAGAGCAAAGCCATTGAGGGCTCACATCATGGAGCATTTCTTGGGTGCCCAGCCCTGTGCCACGTGCCTTATCAGTTCCTGCCAGCGACTCTGTGAGACTGTCTTGTTACCCTCACCTCCAGTTTATAGAAGGGGAAATGGAGACACGGGGAGGCAAACTAAGCCACTTGCCTCCTGCCACTGGCTCAAAGCAAGGACCATGCTGGGGTCCTGACCATCACAGTCACCAAGGCGGGCGCCAGGCTCAGTTCTCTCCCTGACTCACCCTGCTTGAGTCTCGCCAACCCCTCAGGGCAGCTGAGATGAGAGGTGCTGGTGCACCTACTTGTGCCCCTCCCCAGTCCATGCTAGCTGGCAGGATCACTACTGCCTGGCCTCAGTTTCCTCATCTGTCACATGGGGCTGTGTGATGTCTGGGGTCCCTTTCGGGCTCTGAAGATCCTTCTGGTTTTTGAGGAGAGGGTCTATACATGTCACGGTGGGGTAGACCAGAGAAGGGAGGAGGCAAGATCGGGGAGGTGCAGACAAGCCCCCTTCCCTGGCCTGCTGTCTCCCCAGGTCCCTGAGCGGACGGCTACGCCTTGGGCTGGCAGAGCAGTCGGTGCTGGCCGCCCTCTCCCAGGCTGTGAGCCTCACGCCCCCAGGCCAAGGTGAGCTCCTGTGGCCCGTCACTGTGTCCCTCACTGGAGTTAAGTTGGGCTTCCCCCCTCCTCTTCAGAGGCCCATGCCTGCCCCTTCCCCAGCGGGCCCCTGCCATCCCAGGCTCCTCTCCTCTGCGGGGGAGCGTCTTGGGCTGCGGCATCTGCATTCCTTGCCATACAGCAAACCACCCACTGTGCACCCTGGTGTAGCCAAGGACATGAGCACCTTCCAAAGCCTCTGGTGGGTCTTTTCTTAGAATTCCCACCAGCCGTGGTGGATGCTGGGAAGGGCAAGACAGCAGAGGCCAGAAAGACGTGGCTGGAGGAGCAAGGCATGATCCTGAAGCAGACATTCTGGTGAGAGCCGGGCTGTGGGCAGAGTTGCCACGGGCTGTGGGCAGAGTGCCAGGGATGGGGTGGAGCCAGAGGAGCAGTGGGCGGGGCCAGTAAGTGATGGACAGGCATCATTAGTGCGGTCATGGGGTGACTGAGAGCAGAGGTGGTGATCTAGACAAGACTGGTGCTTGGCACAAGGTTGATGACAAAGATCAGGAGGGTGGCAAACAGTGAAGGGTCAGTGACCCTAGGAGAGGTATAGAAGACGCTGACAGTGTCCGGGCACAGTGGCTCACGCCTGTAATCCCAGCACTTGGGAGCCCGAGGCAGGCAGATCTCTTGAGGTGAGGAGTTTGAGACCAGCCTGGCCAACGTGGTGAAACCCAGTCTCTACTAAAAATACAAAAATTAGCCTGTAATCCCAGCTACTTGGGGGGCTGAGGCACGAGAATCATTTGAACCCGGGAGTCGGAGGCTGCCGTGAGCTGAGATCACGCCACTGCATTCCAGCTTGGGCAACAGAGTGAGACTCTGTCTTAAAAAAAAAAGAAAAGAAAAACGCTGACAGCAAGGGAGGGCAGCCGGCATCATGAGGCTTCCGAGTTCCAGACAGGGCTGTGCGTGTAGAAAGGCCTCAAGGGACCCTGAGAGGAGCAGGTGACTGGTACATGGTGAAGGGTCCTGAGAGTCACGGAGAAGACATTGGACTCCAGTGAGAGCCGTGTGGAGGGACCTAGGACAGCAGCTGACCCAGGGCTGGTGACTCCAAGATCCTGACTGCCCCAGAGAGGATGTCCGAGGCAGGAGGGCCGATGGCAGTTCCATGGATGCCCTCAGAGCACCTGCTCTGAGCCAGTCAGAGCAGACAGCGGTGAACAAGGCCCAGTAGAGCTCCCAGGCCCGGGCAGCAAGCTCAACCCAGCCTGCACGTGGGGCTCTACCGGCTGCTGACCTCAGGCCTACCCCACACCAGCTACATCAGAATCTTTGTAGGTGGAGCCTGGCCTTGAAAACCGTTATTTATTTGTCTATTTTTATTTTTTTTTTGAGATGGAGTCTCACCCTGTCATCCAGGCTGGAGTGTAGCGGCACAATCTCGGCTCGCTGCAACTTCTGCCTCCAGGGTTCGAGCGATCCTCCTGCCTCAGTCTCCTGAGTAGCTGGGACTACAGGCGCGTTGCCACCATCCCCGGCTAACTTCTGTGTTTTTAGTCAAGATGGGATTTCACCATGTTGGCTAGGCTGGTCTTGAACTCCTGGGCTCAAGTGATGCACCCGCCTCGGCCTCCCAAAGTGCTGGGACTACAGGCATGAGCCACCGTGCCTGGCCAAAAACCTTTTTTTAAAAACTATATTCTTGAGTAGTCTCACGTGTAGCCCGAGTAGAGAATCGCTGGTCTCATGGTGACAGACAGGGAACAGGGGCAGGGCCAGACTAAGGGAGACAAGGTAACAGATAGTGACGCCAAGGGAGAGCACAGAGACAGGGTAGCAAGAGGAGTTCGGCACGTGGTGACTGAGGTGGGCAGAGGTATCCAGGAGCCCAGGTTTCTGGGAGCAGGCCGGGCTCTCTTTCCAAACTGTGTGAGTTCTAGAAAGGCTTCCTCTATCTTGTTCTCACCCTCCACCCCAGTGAGGTGCCCGACCTGGACCGAATTATCCCCGTGCTGCTGGAGCACGGCCTGGAACGTCTCCCGGAGCACTGCAAGCTGAGCCCAGGTACAGACCCCAGGGGCGCTGAGAGCAGCCCTGTCCCCTCCTGAGTCGGCGTGAGGACGGCCATTGTAGGCGCCCCTCTCAGAACCTGCAGGGTCCTCTCCCCGACCAAAACCGAATGCTCTTCCCTGGTGCTGAAACCCACTGCTTTTCTCCTTGGAATTTCCCCAGTTTCCCCTTCTGGAGTAGACAGGGTGTAGGTGACCCTGCTGTGATAAACAGGAGCTGGGTGTGGTGGCATGTGCCTGTAATCCCAGCTACTCGGGAGGCTGAGGTGGGAAGATCGCTTGAGCCCAGGAGTTCAAGGCTGCAGTGAGCCGTCGTCGCGCCACTGCCCTCCAGCTGGGCGACAGAGTGAGACAATAAATAAGTAAATAAAAATGGGCCAGAAGGCAGTGGGTCAGGCAAGATAGAATCTCTTTCTCTCACACATAAATGTCCAGAGCAAGGGAGGTGGACAGGGAAGGTACAGGTGTGCAGCTGTGACCCAGGGATGACCCAGGGACCCAGGTTCCTGTGTCTTGTCCCTCTGTCCTCCAAAGATTGTCACCATAGTGTCTGTGATCAAATGTGGCTCACTTCCCTGTTCTAATTGTAGGAGGAGGGACGCAGAGGAGGGAAGGGAGGCAACCAGATTCCTTGCAAGGATGTGAGCCAGACATTGCACATGCTGCGTGGGTTCCAATCACATGGCCTTTCCCAGCTGCAAGGAAGGCTGGAGGCTGTAGTCCCAAGTGGGAGGCTAGGTCTCTTTCTAAAACGTGGGAGGCTTCGTGACTGAATAGCAAGGAAGGAGAATGGTCCTGGGGCCCGTTAGCAGTTCTCGTCGCCATGTTTCCCCTCTAATCCATTGCCTTCCCTCTCCTCTCACTCACTCTCCTCCTCTCCCAGGGATTCCGCTGAAACCAATGTTGGCCCATCCCACGCGGGGCGTCAGTGAGGTCCTGAAACGCTTTGAGGAGGCAGCTTTCACCTGCGAATACAAATACGATGGGCAGAGGGCGCAGGTATGGGGAGTGGGACATATCCCTTCCACAGACAGGAGACCGTCAAAGAGCAGGGGCGGGGGGTCACTGATGCCTGAGCTCCAAGCCGGCCTGCAGTACAGACTGCCCAGCTGCCCTCGCTCGTCCCTCTGGGCTTCAGCATCGGCCTCCATGCGGTGGATGCGGCTTTTGTTTTGTTTTGTTTTGCTTTTTAAGACAGAGTCTCACTCTGTCACTCAGGCTGGAGTGCATTGGCATGATTTCGGCTCACTGCAACCTCCGCCTCCCGGGTTCAAGTGATTCTCCTGCCTCAGGCTTCCAAGTAGCTGGGATTACAGGCGCCCACCACCACGCCCAGCTAATTTTTGTATTTTTAGTAGAAATGGGGTTTCACTCTGTTAGCCAGGATGGTCTTGATCTCTTGACCTCGTGATCCACCCACCTCTGCCTCCCAAAATGCTGGGATTACAGCTGTGAGCCATCACACCCAACCTGTAGAGT